ACCCTCAAGGGACTGTGCCCTGTGGAAGGCATCCTGGGGCTGCCAGTGAAGCCGTGGAGAACGTGCTTCCTGTTGCTGGGTGTTAAACAGCAAGTTGTCCAAGTCGCAGGGTCTGCAGTCCCCGCCTTCCCATCGACTCCCATTTCTGGCTATCCAAACTCCATGGGGCTGCGCAAAACCCCGTATTGTTTCCATATGTCGATGCTTGGAGAAGCCAAACAAAGAGCAAACAGGAGAGTTCCTGGCCCTTTGAACCCCTGCTCAGGAAACATGGGCCCTTCTTGTCTCCTGAGGACAACGGTGAGAAGAAACTAGTTGTTTGCTGCTCTTCCCGTGCCCCTCTCCCAGTGGGGTCCAGGAGGCAACTGGCAATTCAAGCTTTGTCAGAGCCCAGCTGGTGAGTGCTCGGTTCCAACTGGGAGGACAGGCTGTCCAGGCCAAGGCAGGAAGGGGTTTTACTCCCCGCCCACCCCCCGCCCCCCCCAAAAAACCCCTTTCAGCTTTAAAGTAAGTTCTTAGGCAGGCAAAAGGGTTTCTTGCAGGTAGCTTTATCCCCAAATGCTTCCAGCACATCCAAGGAGTCTTTTGCAGAAAAGCTCTACCCTCTGCTCACAGTGCCCAGAAGATCTGGCGTGTGATTTGTAAGGATCTTGTCGAAGAGCAATGGAAAAGGAAAAAACGTTCGGTGTAGGGACCGAATGGAAAAGCTGCCGAAGCAACAGCATTTTTCACTGGTGCTGAGCTTCAGAGCGGGCTTTTAAAGGCTTTTTTTTTTTTATCCCCCTGCATTGCTCTTTGCAAGAATGTGTTCAACCCCTTATCTGAGGAATTCCCCCAAATGATCCGCTCTGTTTTGGGAGCTCTTTGTTTCTCTGAGGAGTCCAGCAGCAAACAAATAAACACATAAATTCTTCCCATGGAAGAGTGCTGCATTTTCTAGTTGTTGAAAACGAGGCTCCCCTTTTGCATTGTTCAGTCTTGGGCTTTTTTTTTTTTTTTTCCTTTTTTTTGTAGCCTTGAGCACCAACTCTGCTCTGTCTCCAGCTTCGTAAAATAATTCTGCCACCCCTCTTGTGCCTTTTGTCTAAAACACTCAGCCTGCTTGCTCTCTTCGCTCTGCAGTGGGTTATTTGGTTATTTGTTTGCTGGGGCAGAAAGTGGCACTAGTTATGACTGCAGATTTTCTCTCTTAAACTACGCTGAAAAACTCTCCTCTCTTTGAAAGATTTTGTCTATATTAAGACAAACATGACAAAGAAAAACATGGGGACAGGTAGGAGATGCTTTGGTAGGAGCACAGATTTAGTGATGTGGCAGAGAATTTTATGCCTAAAGGCATTTTTATGTGCATGTACAAATATTTCTGATGTGTTTATATCTGGAACCTCTAAGCTTTAATGAACAGCACTGCACCACTTGACTCGTATGTTCGGCATAGTGAGCAAATACATATGGGGACATATGTCCTACCGTAATGCCCAGAGGAAGCCTATAATCCACTTCATTCCTGGTTGCAGATGGTTCCTGTGAAATGGGATGAGTCAATTTGCTTCCTCACTTTGCCCTCAGTGTAGTTGCAAGGAGAAGGGTTTGGGAGAGGTCACCTGAGACTTGAGAGCAGAAGCATGCTGGGGACAAGGGAGCAGGAGGGAGCTGGGCTTCACTCTGAGGTCCCAGACTGCGTTTTGGCCAATGAGATCAAAAATGCTACCCATGGAAAGGCTGAGCAAAGGAGGATGACAGCCTGTAGGCTCAATGGTTGGCTCCATACTCCTCCCACTCTCCTAGATCCAGAAGCAAGGTTCACTGACTAATCTCTCCTGGGGCTTTTGACTCAACTGGTGGCCCTGTAATCCTGGGTGCTGTGTATAGGTTGTGGCTGCTGTGTTGGCATGCTCAGGTAACTCGGTTTTGTTGCAAGGATCGTTGGCAGACGGATGATCATTGGAGGATGTATGAGACAGTCCAGGAAATTCTTGCTTAGGGGGTTGTGGTGTTGGCTTCATCTCCAAAGCAAAGTCATCTGGCTGGCTTGATGTGACATTCAGGATCTCCCACTAACCCGCTTTAATCCATTTCCCTGTTTTGTTTTCTTCCCCTGCCTTGGCCGTGGCTGCTCAAACTTCATTCCTTAGAGCACAATTGTTATTTTTTTCTCAATTTTCCCATAAAAAGCTTTTCTTTTCCTGAAGAAGCAGGATGGAGAAGAACCTCAAGAGGTCACGCAGTCCCATGGCAGAGTGGGACAGCTGCTAACCAATGTTTGTCCAACATGTTCTTCAAAATATGCCGTGACAGGGACTGCTGAGCTTCAGCAAGTTCTCCCAAGGCTTCACTGCCTTCACCTCTGTAGGATGAGCTGTTTGTGGTGGGGCTGAAAGAGGTAGGAGCAGGGATGACGCTGCCTTGCAATTCCCATCCTGAATCAGCCCCCGCTCTGTTTTGCCACCTATAAACACAGCAGAGAAAGGCAGTACCTGGTGGAACGGCTTGCCGTCTAAGTGATCAAAAATCAGGGCCCGTGAAGTATTGGGAACAGACCTGATCTGTCTGCGTATGTAGGTCAACAATTGCAGTGTGGATGTGGTGTTCTTATATGTAAAATACAGGGAAGATCATCCGTCCACTGCAAAGTGCGTATGTCCCTGCTGAGTCACTGGTCCAGGCTGTTTCTGCAATCATTTCCTACCACTGAATGCTATTTTCCAATCTTGCCCTTTTCTTGGGGAGACCCGAAGGATGTGGGATGGGAGCTAGCTGGTGCAGTTCATCCTGCTGGTATAGGGTAGACCATTTGAGGGGACCTGCCATGGAGAAGGGCATGCTTTTTCTGCTATCCCCCTGCTCCAAATTATGAAGGTTGGTTGCATATGCTGCCTTCATATTGCTATGACTCCCTGGGTAGCGGGACAGTGCAAATCCTTGCTGGTCTTGCTACAACGCTGGTCTTGCTACAACGCTGGGCTTGCTCTAGCTGAGAAATCATTTCTACCACATGTGCTAGCTCAGGCATAGCCTGAGCTTTGTGCCCCGCTGCCAAAGGCAGGTCATGAACAGCTTGAACCCATGGTCACGCCTGGAGCATTTCCCATCAGTGTCCATGGTAGCTGAGCTGAATAAGCCCAAATTTCAGGCTCAAGTTTGCAGGCCTGAACTTGCCTCTGTTGTTTAGTTTCAAGTTGGCAACTGTAGCTTGAACCTGCTCTTGGTGCAAACAGGAGCATGCTGTTGAGGCTTTAGCTGACAGTTGATCCTGCCAAGAGCTCAGAATCTATCTCTTATGCTTGAACCCTTCACTTGGCCAATTTTATGGGGGAAAAAAACCTATTGCAGACTGATACAGCCGGAATAGCAAGGACAGCTGTGGCCGGATGCGGTGTGTGCCATGTGTCAGAGGTGGGGACCACCAAGCGAGGAGGTCTTCCCACCAGCCCCTAACCGAGGTGTGCTTTTCCCTTGCAGCCAACACGCTCATCTGCTTTTCGTGCTCGGATGCATCCTCCAACTGGGCCTGCCTGAAGCCTGTCAAGTGTGGGGAGAATGAAAACCACTGTGTGACGACGTATGTCGGAGTGGGAATCGGTGAGTGGCGACAGGACCTTCTTCTGCCCCTCTTGGCTGCTCTCCTGGGTCACCTGCTGAGCTGCAGGAAGGCTTTCCTTCCTGCGGCTGGAAAAAGGGGAAAGTTTGGCTTAGCAGCTGAGCGTCGGGCCATCCCAAGGGAATTTTTATGAGGGACGTGCTGCAAGACAGAGTCACGCTAGAGCCTGTGTGCCTGCTCCGACTCCGGGAGTCCGAGGGGAATTTCGGGGTGGGGGCGGGGAGGTTGCTGATGAATAAGTGAAAGAGTGGAGGATGCTGCAGGGTTCCTTCGTAGGAAAGCTCTAGGGCTGCCCTTCCTGCTTTTGCCCTTTGTTCGGGTTCTTCATCGCGGAGTCCCAGTTTTGCTTCTTTGCTCTCCGTGGACAAGGTGGGGAGATTTGCAAGTTTCCTCCCCGAGTGCCAGAAAAGATCTGGGGGGGTCTGTGCTTCCCAACTGCTGCTCCCAGGGCAGCAGGCTGCTCCGGCAGGTCTCCTGGCACCATTGCAGAGCCCAGAACCCAGCCTAGCTTCCCTTGCTCTCCCTTGCAGGAAGGAGGGGTTTTGCATGCCCAAGTTGCATGATCCGCAGCGTGGGTGGGTCGTGCATGCAGAAATGGAGGCTGGGAGCTTTTAGAAACCTGTCATCTTAGCACAGCGCTAATGGTTTCCTATTTCCTTCTGCTAAATGTTTGCTGTGCCTCTCTCGCGGGCGACACGCGAAATGCAACCTTTGCTCACAAGTCCCTCCCTGGTGCTCCGTATGCCCCGTGCTCCCTGGCTTGCTTGAGAAGGCCCAAGGGTCAAGCTTGGGTGGGTTTTTTGAGGTTCTCCGCCAGAGCCGTAGCGGCCAGATTTTGGCTCACAGCCTGGAAGGGGTGTCCCTGGGGTGTTGTGCACAGTCTGTAGGGTCTGTGTGGGAGGTTATCATGGGTATTCCTTGAGATGCGTGGGCTGGCTGAGATTGCTGTCGTAGCCTGAAGCCAAGAAGCACTTCATCCTCTCCGTGCCACCTGTGTTGGTTTGGCTATTTCTGTACTGTTATTTCCTTTGCAGAACAGATGATCAGAAAGCCGAGAAACATTCTAAACCCGTCTCCTTTTTGCTTTTTTCCTTTACTCCTGCCCCAACCTACTTTCAGGCAGCAAGTCTGGCCAGTCCATCTCCAAAGGATGCTCTCCCATTTGCCCCAGTGCCGGGATCAACCTCGGCATAGCAGCTGCCTCCGTTTACTGCTGCGACTCCTTCCTCTGCAACATCAGCGGTTCCAGCAGCGTGAAAGCCAGCTATGCAGTCCTGGCCTTGGGCGTCCTCATTAGCTTCGTCTACGTCCTCAGGGCTCGCGAGTGATGGGGCTGGCTGAGGAAGACCTGTCTTCCATGGGCCGTCGCAGGTCTCATTAGCCAATATCTTCTCTATTGCTGTCTGCAAGGAGATCTTCTACTTCTCAGCAGCTTCCAAGGTGGTTGTTTCCCAGACTTTATGCTCTTCCAGCATTGGAGACCTGGGCGGTTTGGCCAAGTTCTCCTCCTTCTGTGGACGTACCCCACTGCACTCTCACACCTCCTTGGCAAAGGTGGATCGTTTTGGAAAGGTTTCTGCTTTTATACCTAATACTCCCCCCTCGTTTCTAAGGTTGGTTAAAACAAGGCTGGGATGCGCCGAGAACCGATTAACCCCAGATACCACCCGGTCAAGTGTTCGGACGTTCCTGCCTCTCGCCTCCGTGGAGGTGCCGGGCACCGGTGTGCTCCCAGCACATGGGTCGTCCAGGCACCGGGAATGCATGACCCAAAGGGAGACACATTCCTGGCCCCTGCAGCTGCAGTCTCTTTTTATAAAATCGTTTTGTTTCTTCTGATCCTGGGCTGATTTTTCTGCAAAACAAATGACGTGTACCTTGTCCCTCCAAGCTCTGTAAGTGCCACACCTGAATAAACATGCTCCTGTTGTTACCTGAGAGGGGACGTGTGCTGTGTGTGTTTCCTTGCTCCAGACAGAGAGATTAGAAACGCTTTTAGAAGAAACCCAAATATTATGCCCAGCATGAGGTCCTCTTACCCTCTCAAGCAGCTTTTGAGTGCTTCATCTCAGCATTCCTTCCAGTTCACCTCTGAGCAGCAAGTCCATCTTCTCCCTCTCCCCGTCCTTTCTGATAAACACCCCTGGGCCAGTTTGTTTCACCTCTCTTGGGAATCACCTTTTCCACGTGCATTTTAGTGAAAAATGCCAGTTATTGGGGTCTGAGTCAACGCCATTACTCCTAACGGAGCAAGTGCACTGGGAACAGGACCTCTAAAAATGAGTCTGCATATTACAAAGACTTGGTGCCTTGATTTCCCCACTTTGGACTTGTGATGGTGATAGACAATAACATCGATACCTAAATGGTCCAGGGCAACACGTCTGTTTGCAAAATGTAGTGAAGTCAGAGGCAAAGATATCAATACTTGGATCTTTAGGTTCAACCTGCAATCCCTGGCTGATGGGCTGGTGGTGCACGTGGACTGCAGAAGGTGACTTCACCACCAAACCACTCCTGCTGTCCCTCAGATCCCAGGATCTTCCCAGGTCTTTCGGCAGCGGTGCTCCTGGAAGTTCTTGGCTGTCCCATGGAAGATGTGTCCTCCTGCCGTCTCTGCATCATGCTGGTTTCCTACCTGCTTTGCCTACCAGTGGACTTGCTAGACACATAACAAGACAAAATTGAGCCTTAAGCTGTCAGGTGAGAGCTTGCTGTCACTTCCACTGATTGATCAGAGGTGCACTGGGCTTTTTTTCTCTTCTAGCAGCAAAAATCATGTGTAGCGTTGACAGTCTTTAGCCATGCCCTCCTTGTATGTGATTCTCCTATTTTGTGTGGACAAACAAACAAAAGTCTCTCAAGCTGCGCACACTGTTCAATTATACCTCTATCCCCACTTAAATGAGGGATAAACAGCTTCTTTTGAAAGATGGGTGCAGGTCTATAGAAATATTTGCAACAAAAGCGGTTACATGTTTTTTCCTCCTCCTTCTCCCCATCTTTTAATTAAAATGACACATGCTAATGACAGCCTTTACAACAGGAGGGACTAGTCATCATGACGTGACCCACAATTAGGTGATGAGTTTGGTAAGAATGACGCTTGCTCTATTGTCTTATTGGGCCTGAGATGTGCCTTCCTCTGGTTAATGCATCCTCCCTCACTTGTTGGGACCTCCACTGGGACTGCAGGGCTCTAGGTGAGCCGTGAACCTCTGCTATGCACATATGGCACAGAAAATTGAAGAAAAAATTACTAGAAATGGGGTAATTATTCCCTAGCTTTCTTGTGCCTGAGCCTTTCTCCCAAGAGGGTTAGTAACCTTGTCTGCAGGGTTAACTTGTTCCTTGTCACTTGCTGTGAGTAGGTGCTGTAGTCCCTGTGGGATTGCTGTGGATCAGAGGGATGGAGATGCCCTAGGGTGAGAGCAAGGCAGCACCCAGAGTGCTCTACTTTGCAAGTAATTGGGCTGTAACTCTTTTCTAGCCACCTGATCATAGGGTAGGTTGGTTTTGGACTCGATGACCCTCACAAACACCTCTGCTGTGAGCAAAGAGCTAAACTTGCAAGCTATCAGCATAGCTGTGTCCTAATGCCTTGAGAAGGCTCTTGAGGATGCCACACTGGACCATCCCATGGGTTAAAGCTACGAGCAGGGTTATGAGACCTGGTTGCCTCCTCCAATGGCCATCTTTCCTATGGGCGTTTCAGAGTTTGCTTGTGCCGAGGACTCGGTTATGCAAAGGAGCAAGGGCTGGTGGGAAGAGTGTTTGGCAGGCTACTTACCATGTACAAATAACAAGTTATATTAATGGTATTGCCAGGGGACAGGATCTGAAGGTCAGTTCACATGTTTTCTTGAGCTTATAGATGATGAATAGATTGTATATGGAGATTTGTTTTTTCCTCTTAACTCTCTTTTTGTCTTTCTCCCCTCCTTATGTGCTATATTCCTGTACACTTAGTGTATAAAAGAAGAAATATTCAGCTTTGCCTTTCATACATATATCTATCAAAGATCTCTTTGATAGATATATGTACAGTTGAGAGACAGGGAAGGTATGGAAGCTTGTCAAATGCAAGAAATGTTATTCAACAGTTTAATCCCAAGCACCATGTGATCAGTTCTGCCAACTCTCACAATTTCTATTCCTGCTATAGATTTTTTTTGGTCCCAAAATCAGACCCGGAAATCATGTAAGAACCTCAGCTGTTGTAAAGCCCAGGAGTGAAAGGTCTGAAACTGTGCAACTGTAGTGATTAAAAATATTAGTAATAAAGTAGCAAGAACACAACATTTACGGAGCATTAAAACTGGTGGCTTGTTAAATGCCTGATTTGGAACTTGAGGGCCATGGTGGGACAGCCTTAAGTACTTTGAATGTGCTTACTTGGACTGTAGAATGAGAGATGAAAATCTCAGCAGAAAACACAGATCTTTACCTTCTCTGACAAGACGAGAGGTTACACGGGGAGGCGACTTTTCTCCATACAGGCATAAAATACCCCAGAACAGTTTTCACTGGAAAATGAGAAGAGCTTAACTCAAATACCTGCCCATTTTGGAGCATGCTAATGAGGAAATGGTTTCCGTGCTTCCATTCTGGAAATGGCTGTATTTCAACGGCAGCTTCTGCTGTCTACCACTACACCAACGTCGCAAGGGCTCTCGTTTTTTGGTATTGTCTGTACAGTCTCAAAGCTTACTGTGGCACCAGCCCTTTCCACTCAGGTTTGCTGGGTTTGTTGTTTGACGAAAAGGAGGACTTAAAAATTAACAAGGTTCTTCCAACTTTTTGGGATTTTTTTTTTTTTTTTTTTTTTTTTGCAAAAGGACAAAAGTTCTCCTTTTGGAAAGCACAGACCTGATGTGACTTCCTTGCACAAACAGCCAGAGCAAATAAGGCCAGTTGCTTAATCATTACTCAAAGGATCCACATCGTTACTCAAGGAATGTCCTTGCTTGGTGTTAATTTACTCAAGTTACGGGCTATTTGAAATTACTTGCCTCCCAGAGACCCTATTTGCAATGGAGGTGGCCATGGTCCCACCACCCCTGTGGGAAGCCTGGTAGCTCTGGTCCGGGTGGCTGTGCCTCCATGCTGGAATGATGTACACGCATCCAAGCTCCCCGTCTCCAGGAAAGGCACATGTGGAGCATGTCTGGATGCTTGGAGGTTTAGGGCCTCTCGCTCCTGTGATCCCAGTGCTTTTGCACCCTGAAGCTGGGCTGTGCCATCGCTGTCATCCTCAGTGGTGGGGTGCTGTGGGTCTCAGTTGTTTGGGATAAAGATGGCTCTCAATCCTTCCTTGATCCTGGAGGAGTTATTTCGCCCCTGGAAAGCTGCTGTCTGAGGCTATCAAACTGGAACAGGGATAGACACACCCAATTTTGCATTTTGGGTGTGTCCATGCTGCACAGGGGAGCGAAGCCCTGGGTCGGTCCTGCCATCTACTGGCTTTTATCAGATCTGGTAGAGATGCTTTGAAGCCCAGGTCTCAGAAGTCAAGGAGGAACCATTAACACACAAAATCGCTATTAGGGAGCCAAGGATGAGCTACCTTTAACCAGATAATTGCATGCAAAGCAGATAATCAGAAGCATCAGAGACAAATTGAGTGTTTTAATGTGTCCAGCTTTGCTCTGATAGTCTAAATTGAGAAATGAAAGGCTTAACAGGCTTCTCAGGTCCCACGTTTTCCGAGGGAATATTTTTTCCAGCCCAAACCCTACTGTTTCGTCAAAACTGAAACACTTCATAAAAATATAATAAGGCAAATAAAGTGTTACAGAAAAACTATTGACACATTTTATTTCAGCTTTGTTGGATGATCTCATTTCACTGAGATGGTTACACTGAAAAGTTGATTTTACTAATGCATATATGTGCGATTTGTAATTGTGTATTACCTTTATTGTAACAGAATAATCAGAATAAAGAAACATTGATTCCATTAAATATATTAACATAAGTATAAATGTAGTGTACGTTACATACTGTTTCTTATACTCTAATAAAAATATATGGAATTAATAAAAAAGGTACACTTGGAACAAAATTTTTGGATGCTTCTGTGGATATTGCAGGTACTACATCTTGCTTTGTGTGAAAAGAAAGTGCTCGGGTTGGATTCAAAGCCCAGGGCTGGGGGTTGCAGGCTGGTCAAACAGAGGACAGATATGAGGCTGAGCCTATAGACTATAGGGAGGGATAAATCCATACATGCCATCTCAAGGCCGTTGTGTTGGAGTCTCTTCCTGGTGATAAAGAACAGGGATTGTCTTTGCTTTCAATAGCTGTGCTCATAAATATTGTTGACTTGGCCATGACCCTACTGGGAATGGAGATGGGATTTGTCCTTTGAGCCTGTGCAATTTCTTGTTGAGAGGGCAGCTATGTTGGAGAGGGGTGTCTATTTTGGGCACATAAGGGCCCCTGTGTGGGTGTCTGTGGGCAGCTGCTCCTCTTCCCGAGCTGCCCGGGGCTGCAGTACTGCAGGGGCTGTTCTGGCCTCTCTCTTGCTCACGGACAGATGTACACATGGACACATGGAC